GCTTTGAGCTTCCCTTCGCTCGCCTGAAAAACGCGAAAAAATAGCACTTATGTTCTTCAGGGCAGCTAACGTTTTAGATATTCCTTTGCTGTATGCGTCCATTAAACCAGTGATGACCTCACCACCACAGAAATCTGGGACCAATCTGAAAAATGGAAACGCTTTGGTATTTACAGATTTTCAACCTGCATGTCCCAGACTATCTGTGTTAAAGGGGCGAGATGAGATCACTAACAATGACATTTGACCTCTTGAATAACAGGTTATGCTATAACCCTTTCACAAAAAAGTTTCCCTTGAAGAATTCTTACTCGTACTTACGATGGTCGCAGGTTTTGCCCTTGTATCCTGCCGTACACTTGCATCTAAAGCCATAGTACAGGTCGTAACACCTGCCTCCATTCTTGCATGGGTTATTTGTGCATTCGTTTATCTCTAATAAACGCAACCAAGAAAGTAGGTAAGTAATAGAAAACAGATTAATGCAAATGTGCCCCTCGCAGTTATAGCAGAGTGTCCGCGCGAGACGCGCAGCGGGGCCTCCATTTGAAACCCATCGACCCTATAAAATTTGGCGTCATTTCAATATATCCCCGTCCGATCGCCCGTACGGATTGCGGGGGTTGGGGACGGGGAGACTCAGGTAGTCCCTGACATGCACCTTGCGTTTGTCTTGGCGTAGAACCAACCAGTTCAGTGGCAACCAATAGCTTTACTCAACTAAAGATCTAGAATGAAGTTTGTTATGTTTGACTTACGACAAAAACATTCCAATTAAAATAAATTTTTCAGGATTGGGTTTATCGATAACGCTTGTGGACACCCTCCAGGACCAATCTAACCTCATATTGGTCAAAATTTTGACAGAATTAAGGTGTAAACACTTAAGAATGCTGGCATGCTCAGCGACAAATTGGCTGCCATTTTTCACACTGCCCACGTGTTCCAAAAAGTGCATTGACATATCCCTGCGAAAGCAAATAATAAGAAGTCTATAAATTTCCCGAACCTCAAAATCTTGTGGTGCAAACTTTTACCGGAATACAATTTTGGGAAAAAGACCTTAACAAACTTTCTGAATCAGCCCCAAATTTTGTATCTGAATAATGAGTCACATTCAAAGAACACTTCAAGAAATATTTCAGTGTCATTTGTTTTCAGAATTACTAGCATACTCATCATACGCTAGTGAAGAGAAAGTCACTTTGAAAGGGAGCTCCTACCTGCCACTGCCCTACGTTTTCTTGCTACAAAAAAAAGATGATTAAAAATATTAGTAATGGTGGCGTTCATTTCTATAACACATCATTAGGATATTCATCAGACTTGAATGTTCTAATGAAACATCTATGAATCATAAATTGACAGATGACAGGCTCTATTTTAGTGTTCGCTGCTGAAATTGCGCCTGAACGCCTAAATAAAGTAAAAAGATGTTCGTTACCATTGTCTAATTTAAAGTTAAAACTTTACTTGGAAAGTAAGTACGTTTTCTTTCGCCTTGTGCCCGTGAAGCAAATAGGGAGACATGTTTCACTGATGACCGTTAAGTCTCTGCTGCAGACCTCCCTTGTTCGCTGCGTGGGATTCAATTAGTCCCCGAATCTGTCGCATGCTACCTGTACGCAAGAGGAGTGTTCATCGAAATATTACATAACGCTAAGGACCTGTAAGAAATACTTCCACAGGTGTCAATTTGCAATGTGCAATTTTGTTGAATGAAGAGGATAGACAGGTGATTATCTGAAAAGCGGAAGTGGAGTGTATGGCACCATTTTAAAGAAATTACTTCCAGTTGGCTTGTTAGCTCAATTGGTAAAGCGCTGGACCGGTATCGTAGAGGTCAAGGGTTCGAATCCCGTACAAGCCTGAATTTTTTCAGGCTTTCTTTTCGCAACTGCAAAAGTTGTGTCTATAACTGCGATGATCTTCTTTCATATAATAAACTCCCAAAAGTTGCAGAGAATGTCTCACTGCAGAGTCCCGACTATGGAAGGGTGTTATGATGTTTGAGTCGGAATAACACTTTAGCTTTAGGGCAGCAAATTGCTCGCTGAACACATTGAACATGTGAGTCACTGTCCCCTTCATGGCCTGCAATTGGAAAGCAACGGGAATGTTTGTTCTTTCCAACATTAATTGCTTCACGTTCCAGTGTGAATGTTTCATCAACAAGGACAATCTATTCAAAAAGAAAAAAAGGCTTTTCAGGGATAAATTATATTGTTAGAAGGTGGTCATCCTCTTGCTAGGCATCATGGGAAGGGCTCGGGGAGACACGTTCGGTAATGGCGCGCGCTGAGTTGCTTTTGCAGATCGTAACTGTTAAGAGATCCAAAACATGATACCGGGAGTTGAACAATCACTGAATATTCTGCTGCCATCGATCTAGTGACTTTCTGCGCCTGGAGTCTGTGAGTGTGGAATCTCGTCGAAACATTACAGCTCATACATCTTCGCGCCAAAACCCCTCGAAACCCCGAGGTTGAGTGCATCGTGTTTTCATAACTATCTGTGCAAATTCACTGGAATTTTTGTGTCTGCTGAAACAAACTTTGATAAATTTCTCCCCTGCTGCTGTAAAACATTTCGGAAGAAGGTGCCGAAGCTGTGGCCCCAGGTCAAATCCCAAGATTTTATACGGGAAAGATCATGAACTTCGAAAGAACAAAGTTCGATTCCCGCCGAGACAATCGCCTCGAAGCGCTTAGAGCCGTCAAAAAGAAATATGTTTAAATCTTGAAAGGCCGACGTCTTGTGAGCAGTTCGAGCGAATGAAAGAAAATGTATTTTGGTTGACGACTGGCTCGGTCCTGAAGGGTCAAAGATCTACGACAGCTTAGAGTTTGGTTTTGAGTCGAGGATGTAAACGACTACGATGATGAAGACTAAGTTGGAGCAAGCGCTGAGTCTAAACTGTCCAGAATTGCTTCGAAGAAGTTAAGTGAACGAGTCAGTGCAAAAATCTGGAGAGACAATTACTGCCTTTATTACTGATTTGCTGCTGTTAGTGAAATACTGCTATAAAAGAGTAGACAAGTGAGAGATCAGTTTGTTTACTGTGTATTTGATGAAGAACGAAAGAAAAGATTGCTAAAAAAGGAAACAATCTCACAAGAGTTGATTTTATTACAATTGTCAAGTCTTACGAAAGCACTAAAATAGAAGTTCAAGAGTGCAGTGCAAATCGACCTCTATAAAAGAGAGCATAAGCGCTGTTTCTAAAGATAAGCCTAAGAACGTTCTCATGTGTAATTACTGTGCCAACAAAAAGGGAGCTCATAGATTTTCAGACAAGAGACTCCGCCCCGCTTGGGGAGTAGTCTGTAGAAAATGCAAAATCAAAAATCACTTTCCAGACTCAAAGGAGTGTAAACGATTACAAAAACGAAGACAAGAGAAACATCAGATCCAAAACAATCAAAATCATTTACCAAATTAAGCAGTTTGTACTGAGAGTAGAGGAAGATGGCGAGGATTACTATCGTGGAGTTCTTGACCGCAAAGTCTGTGAACTTAATCAAAACTGTGACGACAAGAAAGCTTTTGCAAACTTGCTGCTGTCGAAGAAAATAATTTCTGTTAGATATCAGATAAAGTCTGGTTCTACAAGTAGCGTTCTCCCTATGAAGAAGACATAAAGACCAAGGACATAAAAGGTAGATTATAATATCAATGACTTTAACACTGCAATCAAGTCTTTTCTTTCTCTATATGATGAAGAAACCAAAATTCAGACACTGGGAACCAGAGAAGCCTTTGTTCTAAATCTTGCAACCAATGAAGAAGTGATCATTCAGTTTCGAATTTCTGACAAAGATCTTACACCCCACATCGGTCTAAATGAATCTGAAACCCTTGAACTGATTGAACTCTTTCGGAAGAATATTGCTGTAGTAGAGTCAGCTAAACCAAATGTCCCTCCTACTGCTAGTGAAGTGACAACACCACTCACCTTGGAGAGCATTGCGACTTATTACCTTCAAGTCTTTGATGATAGTATAGCGCCGTTTGAGGGTGAATCTCACTCCAAACAAAAATGCCCCCAGAGAAATCTATTTCTGTAAATAACAACTTTATTGCTAAAGTAAAAGACCTCTAACAGCAAGGTATAACTGAGAGAGTGACTCAGCCTACCGAATGGGTAAGTGCTTTTACAGTTGTAAACAAACCTTTTGCTAAGAATGAAATTAGACTGTGCATAGACAGCATACCACTGAACACACTTTCAAACGACCTGAGTACCCAATTTCAACTGTTAATCATCTGCCCACAGAAACGGGCAATAATAGAGTATTCTCTTCAGCTGATATCAAGACTGCCTTTTGGCATTAGATGCAGAAAGCTCCTTACTGAGAAACTTTAATACCCCTGTTAGACGGATGAAATGGAAAAAAAATGCGTTAGTGTGACATTAGTGTATCAATAAGAATTTCAAAGAAGAATTGATGAGAATATAGAAGGATTAGAAGATGTAAAAGCCATAGCTGATGGCAGCTTGATCTGGGGTGATGGTGAAGGCATCGAAGAGACAATAGGTAGCCATGGCAAGAGATTACTTGCCATGTTAGAGCGATGCCAGCTCACCCAAAGAGGCCAACCTATACAGTATGCATCGAGAAAGATCATTAACTGACACTGAAAAACGATACAGCCAAACTGAGAAAGATATGCTAATTATTGTATTTTTTCTCACTAGATTTCATACCCACACTTATGGTAGGGAAGTGACATTCTATAATAATTACAGACCCCTTGCTGCCGTACTGAAAAAGCCTGTCGAGGATAACCCTGTTAGACTCCAGCGAATGATTTGTGGAATCGCATAATTGAGTAAAATCTCGCATTCTGATTTGTTAACGAAGCGATCAGGTATTTAGTGTGGAATTGCGAGTTGAAAACGAGGCTAAGTTATATTGTTTCGCATCTACGTAACAACTATCGTCAAATTCTAACACAACAACTGCAAAAAAGGTTTTCTACAATGTCATTTTAAAATATTTTCAAAACCATTGTCACCTTTTGAAGAGTTAAAAACAAACAAAAGCGTTTTTTATAGTGAGCCGGAGGTTCTTCCTTGTTTTGAACTGAACTACAAATTCTCGAAGAGGCATAAAAAACCTCTTTCGCTCGCGACAACGAGAAAACAAGAAAATCTTGTGAACACGGCCCAGAAAATGGCTAGCCAAAGTTCAACCAAACAAAACGGAGAAGCGACAACGGGGGAAGTGTCGGGGTCGATTGTCACATATACAGAAGAAGAAATAAATACCTTCAAAGACGACATGGCCCCTGAAAACACGAAAAAGAGTACGCCGCTTGCAATCGTCCTGAATAGTGATACTTAGAAAAGTACAAAACAGAGCTGAACTTGAACAGCATTTCTAAAACATTTCAAGGTACTTACCATATATCAATCGCGCCGTTAAACTTTTAGTGCTTTCGCTTGGACACTTCATTTCTTTCAGTTTTGCCGCCGAAGAGGTAAAAGGTGTAAATTATTTTCCTTCTCGAGCAAATGACCAATTTGAAAAAAGATGTTATAGATAAACGGCTTGTAAATTCAGTGAAATATACCTCTATTTATCCTTACGATTAGTGTGAAACTTGTTTACATGTTAAATAGTTTGAAAACAAATGTAAAAACAAGCACAAGGTACAAAAAAAGTTGTCGAAGGTTCAAACGTGCACGACAACCATCGATCTGACACAAAACCAGTTTGCCAGATGGGGAATTCAAGATTGTTACAGACTTTGGCAAGAACTACGACTCATGCAGTTGAATTCTAGCAATTTTAATTATGCCAACGAAAGAAGGTTAAAGATACCATATCTTTACCATATCACCACCAAAGTAAAGGAAAAGCTGAATCCACTGTGAAGATTGCTAAAACTTTGCTGAAGAAATCTGAGAAACCAAAATTATGTCCGTATGAAGCATTTTTTGGCCAGTACAACACACCTAGGCATGACAACGTCTACCACACAAAGATTCCCAAACCGTCGAACAAGAACTGAAATACATATGCAATACTGCTGTCACCGGAGATTGCAGAAAAACATGATTGCAGAGAAAACTAAGAAAAAACAGAAATCTCAGGCTTATTATGGCCAGACTGCCAAAGACCTAACTGAGTTAAAGCGTGGAGATACCGTTAGAGTGAGGCCGGAAGGTCTGCTAAAAGAACAAGAGTAGAAGAAAGGAAGGGTCTTACAGAATTGTGGATACCGTTCGTACGATGTTAACGTGGATGGTAAACTACTCAGAAGAAACCGTGTTCATCCTAAGGAAGATATTCAAGGCAAGTCAAAGAGACCAAACGATCCTCGAAATCTAAAATACAGAGACTGACAAGCAACTGCTGTTAAAAAGAGTGTGAGGCCATCCCAAGAGACCGCAAAGGCTACGGCCATGCCTACGACTACGTTGGTGACCACCATTTCCTCAAAAATGCTTTAACGGTACATTTACCTTTACAGTTCCGCTAAACTGCACTGTTTCGATGCAATCAATGTGCATTGCAGCGAGCGCATAAGTTCTGTATAAAGCTTTCAGCTGAAGATATAGATTTGCTTTCAACGAAATGCAGTGCAGTTAAAAGACGCCATTTTACCCTGATTTTCACCAAAATTATAAAGTTCTGATCTCACTTACACCTACAATAAAACTGTATTGTCATAATTGACAAAGGTTTTAGAGATGCACATATACCAAATTTTCTTCTAAAATAAAAATTGCCGATGATTTTTCATAGTTATTAAATAAACAACTTTCTAGCGTTAGAACGTAATTTTTGATGCAAAATTGCCAATGCAAGCAAGATACATAACTGTGCTTCGAGGGTTGATAATCGTTCTTTGACATTTTGTGCATTGTGCTTTAGTCCTTGACGCACCATTTAAGCTCGATTAAGGCACCATTTAAGCTCGATTAAGGGACGATTTTAAGTACGATAAATGCGCCATTTAAATGCGAAGAAAGAGACGATAATATACCTTTAAAACGAGTCATAGTTGTCACTAAATCTGCCCCCGACCTTTAAAAACCGAATTAAGACTCCATGTGGTTGTCCATGTATTTGCCATGAACCTTTGAAATGCAGTTTTCGTATTAGGGTTTCTGAGTGTAATTCTTTTGTTTTCTTTTGTGTTTTCTCAGTTATTACACTTTGTTTCCTGGGTTAATGAAAATCCTCATACAAGTCATGCTTAGGATGCAGAATGAGTTCAACCAACAATGCAAATGTAATAGAACGCGTGTTAAACAACAAAACCATCTTTAATCAAGTTCCAAGTTCTGTCGATCCACGTTGCTGATTTGTGTCTGACAAATCAAGTTGTTTAATGCCAAACAATTCCAGTACTGCTGAATAGCTCTTTAATTAAAAGAAATCGGAAAATTGATGTGTTACAAGACATACTCACCTTATAGCTTGGAATGAAATCGTGACACAATTCGGCGAATGCGACTCGTTGCCAACCCAGTTTGCGCGGTTGCTGAGCCAGGCCCACATGCTGAAAATTAACCGGGACTACCGTGCGCTCCTAGTTTCATCAAATGGAGAAAATTTTCGCATACTAACAGTACGACGATACGATACTTTTTCTTTACGCGGGGGACATTAGGGTGCCTCCTCGGGTTCCGGCCTCTGGGCCGGAATCCTGCGGGGGCAACAAAACGTACTTACGGCAACTTCGTAGTGGACCTATACTCCATGCACAATGAAAGAAAGTTCTGTTTACACCCAGCCTGGAATGTGCTATCTGCAGTCCGTGAAACTAAGCATCGATTTTTTCTGAGGCAAATGCGCCGGCTTTGCACTGAATGAACAAACGGAAGGGATCGACTGTTTTACGGGTGGGCTCTTCCATTATTTTCCAGGTTTCCTCGAAACTCAACCATATAAGGTAGTGTGAATATATCACATCACACAGTAATCTTCGAAAAAAGAGCACCGAACAGCTTCTAACAGATTTAACTTCTATCCGAGGCTCGACGCACACACAAAAAGCTGTAACTCCAGGCTCGATCAAAGCACGATCTGTTAAGCACGATGAAGGCTCCATGAATGCTCGATCTTAGGCTCGACAGACGTACGATAAAGGCACGACATAAGGCTCGATGAAGGCTCGTTAAAAGCTAATTTATACAACAGGATAAATTGGAGTTAATGTGATAACAATAAACCCGCCCTTACCAGTAGTGGAATCAGCTCACTTCCTTTCACGGGTCAGTTCCTGCATGCGACCCCTGTCACACTAATTGTTTCGCTCAGCCAATTAGATGCCAGCTATAACATGTACAGTTGATGCCTATATTTTCGCGCCTAGCTCAGCAAAATAGCACTTCATATTCTTCTCTTCGTGGAACAAAATGTTTGTTACTTACAGCCTGGATTTTTTCTTCATGAATTGGAATTTTTGCTAAGCTGTAATTACGAGATCACCGTTTAGGAAGGGCTACCTTGATCTTCCAACTGCATACAAGCATTAGGCGTTAGAGATTTTCTGGACAGACTTTCCACGAAGAGATGTTGCACCGCCGCTCTTGGTCAAACTCCGTCCTTGGAACATTGATCTACAATCGTGCAACCGTCCTCTCGAATGTCGCTGCTTTCTCCTCTTCTTGAACTTTCGATATCCTGTCGCATGTACCGTCACTTAAGCCTTTTCGACTCTCTCGGCTGGCACTTCACGGTCAAGGTTCCTCCACAGCAAATCATCTTAGCCCAGTGTGTCTTCCTTTGGGATCAGAGTTGCTCTCTCATGATTCAGGTGCGGTATTTTTCTGGTTTATCGATAGTTAACTTAATATTCTTATTATATTGTGCCTCGAACGACATCTGTTTTTGCAATATTGTGTACATGTGACTGTACTGAGCGCTTTGAGACATGGAAAGTTATTTTTGAGTTCACCTACTGTATTATGAAGAAGGACTGGGCGCCGCGGCCTCTGAAATTCACTTTATTCAAGTCCCAGGGATTCAAGTATTATACATGTCCGTGTTTTTATTATGCTCTTACTATGGAGTAAGACAGAATACGGACTGTTAAAATCAAATCTGTGACGATTGGGTCTTCGAGGTTTTTTTTTTTTCAAATAATGGATTGAATTTCAGTTTTAATTCTTTATTCACATCTAACATATTATGAGTTGAGAAAGATACATGAAAAAAAATCATCAAGGTCGGTTTCACGCTTCGCACGTGCAGACTGCTCCTTTAAAAAGGCGCGTTTTACAGTATTCGAAAATCAGAAATTTCTTTCGTTCTCTGGATCATAAAGAGGAATTATAAGCTAAAATTTTCAGGGATTACCACCTCTCAGGGCCTGGGGATCAGGACCCCAGAGAGAGGATTAGGACCTCTCTTTAGCCTGGTTGTTGTGTTGTTGTTGCGTGATAATGTTTTTATTGGGTGAGTCCTCTCTTTCGGAGCTCACCTTTCTTGTTGTGGTTGTCCCAAGGGGGCCTGGGAATTAGGATCCCAGAGAGAGGATTAGGACCTCTCTGTAGCCTGGGGACTTGATGGTTTGTTGTGGTTGTCCCCAGGGGGCCTGGGACTTAGGATCCCAGAGAGAGGATTAAGACCTCTCTTTAGCCTGGTTGTTGTGTTGTTGTTGCGTGATAATGGTCTCATTGGGTGAGTCCTCTCGTTGGGAGCTAACCTTTCGTTTATTTGTTTATTGTTTATTGTTTTGTTTGCCAAAAATTGTACAAATCAAATAAAATCTAATTACTTAAACTCTCATGGCGAGGAAGGCCAAGAGAAGCCACCCGGCTTATAAGGAATGGGCTCCCTCAGTTAGATAATTAGAACAAAATATTATCATAATTACACATGGGAAAATCAATGGCAGAGCTACAGTAAATCTTAAAATAAGTATATCAGATAGTCGTACTAATCATATTTCTAGGCTAAAAAAAGCGAAATGGCAAAAAGAAAAAAAACAAAAACAAAAAAAACAAAACAAAAACAAAAAACAAAAAAAACAAAAAACAAAAAAAACAAAAAACAAAACAAAACAAAAACAAAAACAAACAAAGAAACGAAAACAAAAACAAACAAACAAAAAAAACAACCAAAAAAAAAAAACAACAACCAAAAAAACAAAACAAAACAGAGCAAAAAAAAAAAACTTGTGGCTGTCCCCAGGGTGCCTCGGAATGTACTATTGTCATTGTTTCAATAATTGGGTTGAAACCATAAATTATACAGCTACTTTTAGTAGCTTACAAGCAACAACCATGAGCATGTGTATTCCGTTTTATCTATGAGGAATTGTTTAAAATTTTGTCAATATATATCGGGTTCTCACATCTCAGTATCTGGCCCTGACTTGAGAGATACACCAGTTGCATCCAGTTTGTGTAATTAGTCAATTAATTGTGCTTAATTTACAGACTGATCCTTTGTTTTGTTATTTGTTATTGCATATCTCCTCATCTGCTTATGGAGGAAGTCTTAGGCCGCTGACCAACTTGTTGCTGT